TAAGCTAAATTTGAAATTTGCAAAGATGTTCAGTTGCTCTATGTCCGGCCTTACGGCAAGTCATCAATTATAGAATGCCTGCATAGGTTTCGAACAAGGTTCGGGTTCGATGAAAAAAAAACTTAAAATCCCAGCACAGTAATTTAAACTCGCCTTGTTATCTTTATGTATATTCGTATAATTCAGTTAGGACAGACTAGAATTTAAGCTATATCTATCTTCTTGTCCTGAGTTGTCCACTAAAACAAAACCGCAAAATGATAAAGATCGCTTCAGTAAATTCATTATACATTCGTCCATAACCTTTAAAAAAAAATAATAATAAAATCACTTACTTTTCTAAATAACGTTTAATGGAACGAAAAAAAAAAAAATTGTATAGCATAGAGAAAAAGATCGTAGAGATAGTTGTCTAATAATTATATGGTAATTTAGTAGGTACTTTGTACACTCAAACGCCAGTCTTTATCATTTCAAAGCAGAAAACAGTCATACAATACTTATGAAAGACACATTTAAAACTTAACCTACTTTAAATACATACATAACTATAACGAACAGCTTTCAAATTCAGAAGTTCAAATTAAAGAAATTAAAGAGAAATGGTGTCGATATTTGTATCAGACACCTACCGTTGTACGTACATATGTATGCATACCTACCGTGCGTGACTTGAGTTTCACAACATCAAAACGTAACATAAAAGATAATCCTATCACGAAAATGTTATTAAATATAGCAATAAATGGCATCATTGACTTTCATCTCAGCGCTAAGGACCATAATAAATTTAAATATTAGTTACGGTAAATCTATATTTGAATGTTCAATATTATTAAATTCATAAGTAAATAACCAATAGTCATAGTTAGTGGTGTAAGCGCAATGCCGTAATTGTCGTAATTTTTTTTTTACAAAAAACTCAATTATATCGTGATCCAATAATCCAAACTGGACTGATTTGATACCACTCAGATTCGTCTCGATGAGACAAATCGGTTGATACCAAAATCATCCAATTCGAATCACCGGATCATAAGGTATTCACAAATAATGTAAATAGTTTTTCGAATTGAATGATTTGTGTACCATTCGATTCGTCACATCGAGACGACTCGAATGATATCAAATTCATTCAAATTGGATTATTGGATCACGATATAATTGAGTTTTTGTAAAAAAAAAAAAAAAAAAAAAAAAAAAAAAAAATTACGACAATTACGGCATTGCACTCACACCACTAGTCATAGACAACTTATTACCGTTAAATCATTAATAGTTAGTTTTAAACGAAATCTTACGACTACTCAAAGTATCACTAAAAATACAAGCAACAGTAATGATAACACTTTCACGAAATCGAATATACAAGAACATTGTATAAGTGCTATTTCAGCAGAAAAAATTATTGATCGAATCAAATTTCTAAAAGAAAATATATACAATCGTATTAATTATGAATTATTAGAAGGTATTTACATAAATTTAAAAGATATATATACAGTATATACATATTTTAAATTATCTAATATTTTTTTTAGATTTTCCTAAATGGCTTAAAGGACTGCATATGCAAAATTTGGCACATCATTTTGAAGGAAAGAAATGGCAAGAAATCAAAAAAATGGATGATAAGCATTTAGAAAAGTTGGGAATTACTGATCATGTTACAAGATCAATATTAGGATCGCATTTTTGGGTTATTCATGTTGACTATGTAAATTTAATCAATTCTCCCTAATGTATTTTAAAATTATCTTTTATAGGCTTTTGACAACAACAAAGGCTGTATTTAGAAAATACGCATTTTTTAAGGGCTATATATTTGAAGTCGATCGTAATATTCTGATTTATTTTTTTTTTT